TGAAGTTCACACAACTATGCGACTCGTTTTCATTCAAAAAAAGTAAGTTATGTGATCATAAAAATACTTTTGGACGTAAGAGAATGATACATAGTGATGAAAAAGGCTTGTGGATATGCTCACGAGATCAAGAGAATAACTGATGACTGTGAAACAATGACACGAAAAATGGAAAAGAAGATTAGAAATGAACCTGTTTGCTGGTGATGGCGTGGGAATAGAAACAGCAATTGAAGCATTTGGAATTGATGCAGGATGCGGTTCATCTTGGCTCATATATCCGCTGCCATGAAACGTGTTTGAAACTCTCGTCTGCATACCGGATAAACGCATTTGCGTATCACCTGAAACGTAACCACATAGCAAACGCCGATTGGCTGAACATCTAAACTCGTAGCTCACAGCAGTAATTGGTATTTTTCGCAGAGATTAACGACGAAATTCTGCGATTCGCATCTCAAAACGTAAGGTAAATTTGAAGCTGAACATATCATTAAACGACTAGTACACTGATATTCTGTCCGTTTCATCAGAATGAACCAAAATATAAGTGCGATCAGTGAAAACTATACAGCAGCACTGGTTTTAGCAGTCCACCTGACCTAGCGATCAAAATCCGCCGATAATCAACTAATAATGGCGTGATTCATATTTCAAAAATACATGTGCACATTTTACATAACGGGGCTTCTCCTTTTGGTTTTATCCATCGCTGCACATACACATTCACTAGCATCGGAACCTTTTCAGCAATCACCTACATTGGATGGCCAATGCATTAGATTGGTGTCAAATTCAGCAAACGAACTACTAAGAAAATCGTTGGAATTCGCAAATGGAACAGACCGCCGATACACTGTTTTCATCAATAAACCTTATAAAGCGATTGAATTCGAACGAAATTCGCTTCGAAATTGACACTAATGGCATTGAAACCGTTTTTCAACATCACCATTCTCGAGAATTCCATTCGATGTGATTTGAGAGTGGTTGTTGGAACAATTGAAAGAAGCCAAATCAAAGTACTACAGGTTCTTGGCGTCATTAATAACATCATAGACTACGTCAGAATGATAAAAGATCGCAAAACATACCCGATCCATCGATTGGATTTCCTTCAGCAGATCGAGCAATTGCGTACTGTATACTTTCACCGTTACAGCCTTCAGGAAATGTCACGAATCGATACACAAACTTCTGACCAATCACCTGCAATTTAGACACATTTCGAAAGACTGTCCGTTGAATTTGTTGACAGATTTCGATTCGCTCATCGCTGACGAATGTTTTTTTTTTGACTGTTAACTGTTGAAGTTCATATTCTTCCTGCAGTCTACATATAAAGTTGGAAAAATACTTCTTTCATTCCAGAAAATTAATTTCATTCACGCCACTCAGAATTTCTCGGACCGGTTCTCGATTTGCCCTTGATGTTATGTGCATGGAACTAATAATATCTTGTACTGGAGAGGAGGGGGCAATGTCGGTCTGCCAGACCATCGAAGAAGGTGACGGAAATTCTTGACGTGAGAAACACTGATCTGATGATACATGACACTAGCCGTTAAGGGCAAAAATGTGAGCGCATTCGTTTCATATGAAACTAATAAATTACAAACTGCCATTTCACACCTGTCAATTGTTCTATTACAGCTGTTCAACAAGCCACCACACACATGTAGATGTGTTCATTGCTGAATGAGATAATTCCACCCTGATAACCCTTTTCAATTCTAGTTCAGCTCAACTGTAAACAATCGACGTTGGGACTTAGCCACCAAAGGCTACCTATGTTACATAACGATGGTATATTAAGAAATAGATTCGCACGCTTAAAATTTGAACAGTCATTCTCATGCATACAAACAAACGCAGAATAGGACCGACGAAGTTTTGCACTCGACAAACGAAGTTTATGAACTAACCTTCTTGATGATATTCTTGTCGTAATAATATCGTAAGGCTCTCGACAATTTATCATAATTCATATGCGGTTTACTTTTACGTTGCCCCCACAACTGCGCCACTCCTTCGGCATCCAGCAACTAAACATGAAAATATATTAGTATTTCTTTTTTTTTTCAAAACAAGAATCGATTACGCAATAATTCAATCAAATATAAATGTATTCAAAGTGAAGGCAAAATAG